GGCAGGACATAGCAGTATTGTACGGTAAATACCACTTAGCAGTGCGCTGGCCCAAGGGGCCTTCTCATGCGAGCCGACGCAGGGCAACGCGAGATTCTCGAACACACTGCGACTTCTTGTTCCTTTTTTCCTCGTCTGATCGGCGGCACCTGCACACGCTGAGGAGAGCGTTTCGCTCGGTTCTCTTTTTTCGGAACATAATCACCGCTCCCGGGTGGGATCTTATTTTTAGCCGCGACCGATTCTCGGAACTCTCGTACCGCTCCACTCTCTATCGAACCCCCACCTGGTAATTGCCCCCAGCCCGATGATTTTCCTCTAAAGTCGCTTAGCGTTGATCGTTAAAGATTGCCCTACGGATTTCTACACTTGCCTATGCTTTCTGTCATTGTCGTCTTTTACTTGTCACCCTTGATTTCGCAGCTCTTATTCGTAGCCTTCCAGCTTTCAATCGTCAACTGTGCTTTCCGACAATTTCTATCGATTGCTGTTCGATCAAAGATACGCTTAGACTATTATTTTAAAGATAATAATGCAATCGAGTGCGGTCTACGTCTCGTCGACGAACAGAATAAACTACTTTCATTACTAATAACGATGAATTGGATTGAATAGTTGATAGATAGGAGAATGGAGATTGGAGATTGGAGAGTGTAGAGTAGAGAGTGGAGAGTGGAGAGTGGAGAGTGGAGAGTGGAGAGTGGAGAGTGGAGAGTGGAGAGTGGAGAGTGGAGAGTGGAGAGTCGAGAGTAAAGAGCAAGTCGAGTGTTCTTAAACGAGAAAAAAGTCAATGGAGACCGGTTGCTCAACAGGTGAGGTCTTTCCTCGACCAAGCTACGCACAGGTGTGCAATCTGCAAATCCCCTTTAGCAAAAAACTATACACTCTTCAGCACCGTTTCACGGTTGTGTCGCGGTCCCTTACGAATACGTGTGCACAATACTCGGCGTCTTTTTGTTCACGAGACCCTCGTGTTCGTGAAAATCGAACGCTTCTTTCAGTGGAGAGACGATTCATCGATAAATTGGAGTTTACTTGATAAATGATGCGAAACACGATACAAACGGTCTAGTTCGAGTACAAGGAAGCGAAATGGAAAGAGAAAGAAGTAAGCGTCGAAAAAACTGAAAGACAGAGGTGCGAGTATAAATCTAGAGCGGAGACGAGTAAAGAACAAGCGGAAGAACGAAAAAGGAAAAAGGAAAAAGGAAAACGAGTAGAGGAGGAGCGATGTCGGAACCGAATCGGGGCCGGTTATCAGAGGTAGAGAGGAAGGAGCCACGAGGGCGAAACGATCTATATCGTTAGATACATCGTTGGCTCTCCTCACCAGGTGGTCCTCTTCCCGTGCCGGATGACTCAATCGTGAGAAGGAGTTGCTCGACGGGATCGCGAGAGAGGCTTCGCTAGAACCGCGTACACTTTGCGTCTCTGCGTTTCCCCGCGTTTATCCGTGTCCGACTACGAGCGTGTGAGTGCACACGCGACTGACTCTCTGCAAACTTCTCGACCTCCTTGGTTCTTCCGCGAGGGAAGGCTGTGATATTCTTGCAACTGGGAACATAGCGTATGCACGCGTGTACACCGGTTTCGTAATACTATGTATATATATATATATATATATAATGATCTTGCCAACAACAAGACTTTGACTTTCTTTGGAAAATCACAGTTTCTGCCGGAAGAACCAAACAAACGGTCGGACGCAAACAATCGAAACAACGAACGAAGCACGCGAGTACAGCGACGAGATGGTTCTTTAAGCGATGCCGAGGCTGCAAAGCTAAATTACAGTCCGACGTTCCTTCGGCTACGATTAAACGATCAAACTTGTCTAGTAAACTAACGATACGTGCCGCATAGTCGCCACGATTTCTTTTACTTCTTTTTCAATTCGGTCAACGACAACTCGATCGTTCGGAAGTGAACCGAATTGGACGACGAAAAATGATCCACGGTCGAACAAGGTTCGAGAAGTTTCTGGTTGCTGGTACGCGGCTAGAGGTACTTTGAAAGTGCCGCGAAAGTGCTGGTTATCTGGTCATGATCGAAGATCAGAGTGGCGGGATAAGAACAGGTGGGAAAGAGAAGAGAGTGAACGAGGGAGTAACGATTGTTAAGGGAGCGAGGAGTAAGAGGGCAAAAGATAGAAGCAGGGAGAGACAGTGAGACGGTAAGATGGAGAGATGGAGAAATGGTGAGATGGTGAGATGATGCGAGA